CCACCGCCCCCCATCACAGAGACATTTATTGCTCAAGAAACATTCACATGTTCCCCTAAACATCCCATCACCCCTGCAGTTAGGTGGAACCATGTGACCTATTTGGATAACGGGCTTTGAGTGGAAAGAACATGTCCTTTCTGGGCTAAAACATTTAAAAGTCAGTGCATGACCTTGCTCTCTTTCCTTCTTCAGTGCGTTGGAAGCTACTGGCTAAGGTGGGTCTCACAAGGTGGGAGTCTTCACTGAGCCTTGACGTGGAGAAGAGGGCCCCTGAAGAGCTAGTTGCAGGACCATCATAGGAATGCGGTAGAACTTCCATAGCTGACCATCTCCTTAAGTTCACATAAGTTTCAGAGACGAGACATGCACCCCATGTACATATCAGTACAGTACGCCTAGTTCCTTATGTTGACCGCCTCTGTATGTTGACTCATTCGTTACAGTCCCTTGAGTGGTCAACTTACAGAGTTTCTACTGTATTTTGCAAAATGGACATAGACCTCTGTCATGGAAGCCACTAGCATTTAGAGGGCAATTGGTTATGCAGCATAGTCTAGTATTCCCCTGACTAATACCCTAAGATAAAAGCAGTCAAAGCACCTTCCCTGGAGGCTGCTATTCTCTCAGGTTTCACTCTATTTTCCTCCACCTCTCCAGTGGGAGTGGCTCACTCAAGTAGGAGGTCTATAAACATGTCCACTGTTTTCCTTTCCTCTCCACAAATTCATTCCTCAACTCCTGGCCTCTGACCCACCACTTTACCAAATTATTCTATGCAAGGCTCTCAATGACACCAGGAACCCCGAATCCACTTCAGTGGCTTCAGCCTGTTTGCAGATGGCTACTATGCAGGCGACCCCGCCCTTCTCCCAGCCTGCCTCTGGTGCCTTCTCACCTGGGTTTTCCTCCCACCCCTGCAGTGCTCTTTTAAAGGCTGCTTTACTGACTATCTCTCCTTCATCCTGCCTCCTAATATATCCCCGCCCAAGGTCTAGCTTCATCCCTCTCTGTTCTTTGTACTTTCTCTTTTGATCTTCCCCAAACAATGACTTCAACATCCCCAACCACGAGTATGACTCCCAAATCGAATTATGGTCACTGTCCTCAAAGAGCTCGGGCTAACCGGGGAAGTCTTCCTAGGCTCCAGGGCCCCAATTCCGCCCAGCTGGATATTCTCACACTTAGAGCCCCAAACCCAAACTAATTTGCTCTCTCTTTCCCTCCTGCCCCCTTATTCTTGTGAGTGCTTAGGCTCAACTTCTGGGGTGCTGTCTCTATTTACACATGTACCCAGGCAATTGCAAGTTTTGGAAGATTCTATTTCTTCATACTGTCTCCCATCTCTTCCTTCTTATCCATTGTCTCTGAATTACTTGGGAGCTCCCCAGCCTCGTAGCTGGGGCCTTTGTGTTAAGACTTTCCCAGTCTTATTTTCCCATGTCCACGTCGGTCACACTCCAAGAAAATTGGCTTATTTCTTGTTCTCCAAACATGCCTCGGGCTGTCTTGACTCTGGCCCCTGCTCAAGCTATCTCTGCCACCCGCAATGCCTTCTCCCACCTCCCGCTATCATTTTTGTCTTCCTGTTGAATCCTACCAATCTTTCAAACCTGGCTTAAATACTATTTTCTCTAAAGAGATTTTCCTAATTCCCTTCCCTTGTTCACTCCCTCTTTTGCAAACTTAGAGCATTTTATTTGTAACTCCTGTATGAGTTGGGGTGAAAACACTTATCCTTTCCCACCCCCATCTTCCATCCATATGACGTGCTGCTCTCTGACCTCCCAGCTTAGTTGTTCTACTCAAAGTATTTTTAGAAACCGAATTTGTTATGGTTCCCTTTCGGGAAGTGGGTACTTGTGTTGTATTCATGCTTTCGGTCACAGGATTGAGTCTCATTTCAAGTGAGGAGTTACCAGTGAAGCTGGCAGCTGGGTTGTCCTGGGGCCTGTTTCTGTAAACACTTTTGGAGTTTGCAGCCTTTTTTTTTAGACATCCTGAGCTATAAACTGCTACTAGTGAAACCTGGCTGCTTTGCATGTGCTTGGGGGCTGCCTGGCCAGGTGGTTCTTCTGGAACATTCCAGCTAATCTCATCCCTGTGAAATCCTCCTACCCAGAGTTATCTGAGAGAGGCCAGGCAGGTGCCTAAAAGGGGACTCAGTCCAAGATGGGACTCTCCAGGCGCTAATGAGACCCACAGTCTTCCGCCTGGGTAAGTGGAGCTTAGGGAGCCTATTGGGTGAAAAATGGGCTGCCCTGCACTTACTTCAAAGCTTCAACAAATCTGGGCAGGAAGTGAAGGAGGAGACTAAATATGGAGGCTGTACTGCTGACGGGGAATTCAGAAGCTAACTGGACGGTGGATTCCAGGGCAGAGAAGAAAGGACATGTGCTGGGGCGGTCCGCGCCGCTGAGGCTGGGCCCTCATTACCCACCCCTCTGTGGGTCCGATTTTTCTTAGACAGGGAAAAGGAGGACTTCCAGGATTATACTTCCCACGGCAAAAACTCACTAATGTGAAGCGTTTTTCATCCAAAGCCAGGGAGAGCCACAGCATCGACCCAAATCTTTTATCCTCCTGTTGCCTGATAGGCCAAATGACCTGGAGGGCCTTCGAGATCCCTGAACCAGGGGTTCACACAGCAGGGTAGTAGGAAGTGAAAGGGTTGGGGGTGTGGTGACTGAAGGATGTGGCACCCTTCCCCCAACCTCCTACTCCCTGCCACCGGGCCACATCCACAATTTTGGTCCATCATGCCTGGGCCAAACCACAGGCATCAGCAGGGCAGCTGGCTGGTGCCACCTGTTTGGGTCAGTTCTCTTATTTCACAGACTAAGATTCGGAGAGGTTAAGGGGCACATCTGAGGTCACGCGGCCGGTTTGGGGGAGGGACAAAAACTGAAATCCAAGTCTCCTGGTGGCCACACCACGGCTCTTTCCACTCAACCTTTCCTTCTCTCCGCTTGAGGCAAGATCAGAAATGCTGGAGACTTTGATAAGAGCCGAGGAAAACAGGCTCCTTGTGACTCGGCAAAAGCACATAGGAGAAGATAACCAAGTTCCCGGGAACGTTTATGCAGAAATCTGGTAACACAACCCACAGAATCAATGGAAGCTCAGGGAAAAGTTCCATCCAGGGTTAAGAAAACAATAGTTGATTTTTTCCAAACACTCAGCAGAGTTGAAATACAGTGTGTTCCAAAACAAATCAGTTCCGTTGACTGAGTGACCGTATTTTTTATCCATTTCATTGTTTATGTCCTCGCTGTTAACTCAGTCTTTTTTTTTCCTAAAGTTATTATTATTGCTAAAAACTCACTGTTTCTAACATAGTGAAAACAAATTTTTTTTAACACTCAGAGCCAAAACAGTCTCTGTTCCTAGACCAAGGACTCCTTGAAGTTTGAAGAACCAGGAAATTGTTTTCCATGTGGCTCTAGAAAGGCAAGCACTCCCTGATGGAGGCTTTCCCGTCTCCGGAGTCAGGGGGTTGGTCCTGGGCTCCAGCTGACCATCTCAGTCTCATTCTCCAGGTCCCTCAGGAGCAGAAGGGCTGTCCCTAGCAAGCTCAGCCAGGTCACAGTCTCTCACAGACGCCTTTGTTAGAGGACAGTTAGAGCCTAGGAACCCAGAGTTGTTTGGGCTTTTCAGTGGGAGGACCTGAGTAAAGCTGCCATCCTCAGGGTTCTAATCCAAAGACAGAGATTTCAGCCTCATCATCGGGTAGGCACTGCAGTGACCTTGGACAAGGCTGACGGAACCCAAAGATGCCCCACTAGTGCCATCGGAGGAAGGCACAGTCTCAACAAACAACTCACCTTCATGCTGCTGGTTATGTCTAGAGCCGCAAACACCCTCTCACTTTGTCTCACCTACTGCTATTCAGTGGTTCCTAAACTACTTTCTGCTTTTGCCCCCCAGCTTGGTGGGCACAAACACTCTGGGGGTGTTCGACCATGTGACCTGAACACATTCTCTTCCTCCATCTCCTCCATCCCAGCTTTTCTCTCACCTCCAGCCCCATCTCACAGTCCCCCCGCGTCAGCCCCAGCGGCCACTTGCTCCTTTCCCACGTCTTACAGGTGGTCCCTCCTCCCCTACCCTTTCACCCGGCTTCGGGCTGGACTTGGGCCTGCTCCTTCCTTTTTCATCTGTTGCCAACCTCACCATCTCCACACCCCCTTTCCCCATTCCTAACATCTTTGTTCCCCATTCTCTGTTTTGTTCCCCATTCTTAACCATGCCCGAAATGTAACACCCTCCCCCTTGACTTCCTTAGTCTTGCCCGACTCCTTGCATGTTTGGCTAATTTCCTTTTCTTCCCTGTGTGATGAGCTGGGAAATGGCAGTGATGCCCTGCAGTGGCCTTTTCCCATCAGGTGACAACCTGTGCGTGGAGAAACACACAAGGGCACGATGGAAAGTCAACTGTGCTTTCCAAATTGTGAGCTCCCACCCATTAGTGGGTCCAAAATCATTTTAGCGGATTACAGCCAACATTAGAACAGAAAATATTGGAGGACATCACCCCTGTAAGATAAGTATTGTTTTGTTTTACTTTCATCTTGGCTGTTTCTGTGTGTGCTCATTCCAAGTTTCAATGTGAAATATATTCCTTAATGTGGGTTGCAACAAAAAGGGTTGAAAGTCCCTGGTGTGAAGAATCAAGGAAGACTCTGAAGACACATTTTTGAAAGTGAAGGGTGTCAGAGTAGGGTGACCAGATGTCCCAATTTTTAACACTTTGTCCTGCATCCTGCGGCGTTTTTAAAAAGTCCCAATTTTTGGGAAGAATGCATGAACAGGTGGGAGGAACAGGAAGGGAATATACGGTTTTCGGCTGCCATGTGGCTATTTCACCAGGATATTCCCCCTGGGTAGAGTGCCATAGCATCACAGCTCACAGCAAGCTCCAACGCTTGAGCCACAGGCGCCGAGCCAACCAAATTTTTAATTAAGAACACTCCCCCCCACCCCCCGTCAATGGTGTCCTGCTTTACCAGTGTTAAAATCTGGTCACCTTATGTCAGAGGTGCAGAGACATGTGCGTGGATGTGATGCCAGCCCAGCGTTCCTGGGAGCTCTGTGCAGGCCCAACACGTGTGGCTCCCATTCTCCTAACAGTTGGGGGAAGGAGGCCTTGTTTCCAAACCACTGCCATTAAAAGTTCATAGAAACTGCCCACTGTCCTGCAGTACTCTGGTTCAAATTTACATACAAATCAAAGGCTGAAATCTTAATTAATGGTCATTAGGATCAAAAGAAAACTTTTTAAAGGAATAGGACCCTCCAGGTAATTTTAGAGGAGTGACTCCATCTGCTTCTCCTCCAGCCCATAAAAATAAGCCCAGCAGACATGCCTGGCAAAAGTGGAGTTCAGTCGGCCACAGTTGGAAATCTACTGTCTTTTTCAGTGGGATCATCAGATGCTACCACTTAAAGTGCAATAATATCTGAGTCTTGACCCCGTGAACTGGAGCAGGTCCGATTCCAGCTCATCACATAAACACGTGCTCTGGGCCTCAGGCAGGGGTGGCGGGGCCTGAGGTTACTGGCAGTAAAAGGTGAGCACGTTTTCCTGGTTTCCTCGGATCAGGATGACTGGAGGTCTGAGGTCCTGGGACAGGGTCTCCAGCCAGGCCATGTATAGCGAGCTCGGACACTTCCCCTTTCTCCCCACGGGCAAGGTGCTGTAAGGCAGGAAGAAGCAGTGAAGAGAAATCACCAAGGGGACCCCACATAGCCCAGCTCACGGTTTGTTTTCTGAATAGCAGGTCTATTTTGCTGTCCCCTTCAGAGTTCCTTCCCACTTACCCAAAGAATGACTTCTTTGCTTTCCTTAAAAGCATTTCCCAAAATGTGCCTTCAGCCAGGAAGCATTTCTTTTTTTAACTTTTTTTTTTTTTTTTTTCAGGCAGCAGTTATTATGTTGCCCTTGGTAGAGTACTTTGGTGTCATAGCTCACAGCAACCTTCATTTCCTGGGCTCAAGTGATCCTCCTGTTTCAGCCTCCTGAGTACAGGACTACAGGTGCCCACCACAACATTCTGCTAGTTGTGTGTGTTTGTTTAAAGGTGGGAGCTCACTCTTGCTCAGGCTGGTCTTGCTCTTGCTCAGGCTGGTCTGAATTCCTGACCTCCAGCAATCCACCTGCCTTGGCCTCCCAGAGCGCTAGGATTACAGGTGTGAGCCACCACACCAGGCCCCTACCAAGCATTTCTAAATAAACTATCCCTGCAAAGCCCACATTATCCAGTCCTTGCCAAAACACACAGCCCCACTTCCTACCCCCAGCCTTGCTCATATCCTAGAGCCATGCAGCTTTCTTCCCACTCCTTGAAAGATGTCAAACTTGCACCTGCCTCAGGGCCTTTGCACTGGATGCTGTCTCCACCTGGGGGCTCCTTGGACTCGCTCATGTCTCTATAAGTGCATCTCCTTTTCTGGTCACTCTCCAGAGAAGGCCACCCATGCCTTTTGCCCACATCATCCTTGTCTTACTGTTTCTTAGCCCTGTCAGTCTCAAAAGCATCTTTTGATTTATTTGTCTGTCTGCCCCCGTTACTCATGAGCCGGCTGGGTCTATCTTGTTCATCCCCTTTCTCCCTGAGCCTAGAGCATAGGCGCTATAGTTAGGCTAAGTACACATCTGTTAAGTGGGTGGACCTCCCCCCTCAGGTTACTGGCATCATAGCAGACCTGCTTCTCTGGACACATAGCATGATGTGTTTGTGTGATTCAGCTGAGTGTCCCTGTCCTGTCTTCCACCCTGTGTGGAAGGCCAGGTAGCAGCTCACTATCACCTCGGAGGGCCCACTTGTGCAATGCTGTGCATATAGCGAGACACCCAGGCATGCTGTTCAGCTGTGCTTTTCTGGCTATTTCAGGAAGTGAATTTTCTACCATGGTGAGAATTCAAAAAATGCATCAGGATGGCTGCAGCTGCCCAGCCTTTGGCTTTTGCATCTCATGAATCCCATTGGCCCTTAACGTGGGACTCACCTGACAGTCTGTTTTCCCAAAGTACCTCCACAGCCTTTATATCACCTGAACCTGAGGACAGCCCTGGGAATGGGCAAGGCTGGAGCACCATCCTCCTTCACAGTTGAGGGGACCTGGGCGGGTGGAGGATGCCAGGCACACTGGCATCACAACAGCTGAGTGTGGCTTGGCCACTCCTTAGCCACAGGACCTTAGCAAAGTGCCTCCCTGCCCTGGAGCCTCAGTTTTCTCTTCCCCTAAATGAGAACACAAATGTCTCCCTCACAGCACATCTGTGAGCTCTAAAGAAGAGGAAGTGGACACAGGGCACATTTCATAGCACCAACAGCTATTAGCAGCAGCTATACCAGGAGCCATTATCAGTGGGCGGGTGGGGGGCTGTCTTCCCGCCCCCGCTGCCTCTGCTCGCTACAACTCACCCTCTTCTGGGAAGGCTGAGAAGGGTAACTAGGGTCCCTGAACAGCTGCCTCATAGCTGAAATTCCATCAGCTTCCCTCGGGACATCCGCTACTCTCCTTGAAAAGGCAATAGCCCGAAAACCTGGGAAGGCTGGCGGGAACAAGGGCATTTCATCAAGCTATTCTCACCTTAGTTCAAATGTGTTTGGTGCCCTTCCAAGGAAAAGGGACACGGGAGTATTGAAATCAAACTCTTCTGATTGCATAGTTAGCCAGAGGCTGGAAACACTGTCTGGGAAATACTACGGTTATTTTTAGAGACTGAATTCAGAAACTTCAAAGGCCATGAGGGAACTGGTGGCTGCATTATCAGGGGCGGGGGACACCCACCACTCCTGCGGGGGACTGGCCGGCTTCGGCATGATGTTTCTTCCCCAGCAGAGCCTATGCACCTGTCCCAGGGACAGCTGCCTTTAAACTCGCCTCCACGCCAATCAATGACACGCTCTGTCACTGCTCACTAGACGTACCCGCCTTAAGATACTAATCTTTAGAAATAAAGCCGCACCAGAACAAAGGAACTTTTTGTTAAGAGTCACATCTCTTAGCCACAAAGAAAGGCAGTCTTAAATCTAACCTAGATGTGGAATGACAGCCCTGTGCCAGAAGCTTTGAGAGTCGTAGGCTACGAGAACCGATCTCCACTCCCCTCTGTGACATTTTGGCCAAGTAGCTTCGCTCCTCTGAGGCCATTTCCTCATCTCTAAAATGGGGAGTTTTAGAGTTTGGAAATTTCATATGAAAATTCTCTACGGTGACCAGACTCTTCATTTTGAAGAGGAGGTCTTTTTAGAAAAAATTGGTGTCTGGACCCAATAGGAACAGGTTGTTAGTCTAGTCAATGGTTGTGGGGCTGTTCCCCGAGCCTGGCTGGTTTCTCAGGGATAGCAGAACTCAAGCGTGGGGCAGATAATCTGCTGATTAGTGCCTGGCAAGCCAGCAAACGCTGCCTCAAACCAGCTGTAGAAAATGGCTCAAGTCTGCTTTCTGAAAATGCCAGACAATATGATTTTGTCGTTTCACCAAGGCTTGGGAGATTTTTTGTGGCTGGCATCCTCCTCCTGTCCAGACTCCCTCAGGTGTGAAATTCTCTTCCTCACCATTTCTGGGAAACGCAGGTTTCTAGGTTCTGTCCCAGACCCTGATCTGGAAGGAATTGAAGAATTTGCATTTTCCGAATTCCTCTGGTGGTTTGGATGAAGATGACCTTCACCCGACTGAACTTTTAGAAACACTGGCATGCCTCTAAGTTGGAGATTAGCCATGCAAAGACGCAGCTGCTCCATCCTCCCAGGGGAGCTGGCCCCGTAGCCAGGGCCCCTTTAGGCAACAGCTGTAGCTACTGGTGTGGGGTGGGACGCTGTGGGCAGGCGTCTTCTCTATGGTGACTGGACTCATAATTATTTCTATCAGCTAATTCCGCCTATGATGTTGGGGGCCAGGGGTAGGAGCTGGGGGTGGGAAGGGAGAAATGCCAACAAGTGGTCACCTCCCAGAGTGAGTTTCCTCATCTTACTGCCTGAGAGACTGACTCATTTTAATGGCAAATAAACTTAGAATCACAGGATGTTTAGTGTGAATCTTGGAAATACTTTCTTTGAGCTCTTCTTTTTAAAATTAGGGAAACTGAGGCTAGAGAGACACAGGTTACTAACCCAAGGCCACACAGTGGACTAATAGCAAAGATAAAATGAGAGCTGGCTTCTCGAACAGAGGTGACACTCACCAGGCTATGCTGGGCACACCCTCAAACACACAGCAGGTGCCACACCCAAGGAAAAGCCTGGGAGCTATCCAAGGATGCACCCATGTCCACTGTCTGACCCAGACCCCACCCTGGGCCAAATTTGGCCTAGGAACATTCTCTGTGAGGTGTTGGCCAGAGGCTTGGGGATTAAACCTTTCCTCATGACAGTTCTCATGTCAGGGAAACACAGAAAACTTTCTCTGTATAAAAACTCATCTCCCAGGTGGTGCCTGTGGCTCAAAAAGGTAGGGCCTCATATGCCAGAGGTGGCGGGTTCAAATCCATCCCTGGCCAAAGCCCAAAAAGCAAAAAACTCATCTCCCTAAAGCCCCAGGAAGCATTGTTTTGGGCACAGCCAGCTTCTTGAGTGTGTAATCTGTACAGCACTCAGAAGGGTCCCATGCTTGGCTAATGCTCTACTGTAACCATCTTGACACTTAAAAAAAAAAAACGTTGCTAAAGTCACAGGGGAAAGTGTTCCAAGTGTTCCTCCCTGTTGACCACACTGTGAATTATGTCACTGTCTGAGAAACGCAAACCCTGAGCACTCATCTTTCAGGAAAAGCACACAGGGGCATCGGTGGCATCTGGGGCATAGGAAGTGCCTGGCCCCAGGAAAGGATCAGCAATGGTTTGTTGTCAGGCTTCTGTGTTCTTACACTAATCTGCTAAAAAGGATGATCACTGCATAGGAGATCAGGAATCATTAGGGATTCCACATGTTCTGCTGGGTACTGACACAAATGGAGAGACTGGAACAAAAACTTGATAAGTCATAACCATTTGCTATGGTCTGACATTACCGTGCCCTCCCCCAATTCACTTAATAAGAATCTTACCTTCAGGGTGACAGTATTAGGAGGCGGGGCCTTGGGAGGTGATAGGGCCTGTGGGAGGTGATTAGGCCACAAAGATGGAGTTCTCATGGATGGGGTCAGAGCTCTTTTAAAAGGGCCCCCCGCCCCCGAAGCTCCCTGGCTCTTTCCACCAGCTGAGGACACAATAGGAAGGCCCATGTATAAACCAAGAGACGGGTGCTTGCTGCACACTGAATGTGCTGGTGCTTTGGTCGTGGGCTTCCCAGCCTCCGGAACAGTGAGAAATAAGTGAGAAATAAATTTCTGTTGTTTATAAGCCACCTCACATAAGGTATTTTGTTATTACAGCCTGAATGGATGGAAACATAATTCCTGAACTCTACTGGGTGTAGGGAGTATAATTTGAATATTATCTAAGAAGGTTCTCAGAGCCACTCTTCTGCTGATCAAACTCTGCTGGTTGATGGAAGCAAAGACTTGACCTCTGGCCTGTCAAAGAAGAGTAACTGATCCTGTGTCTTCTGAATCTTCATGAACATCGTAGGACAAGACTGGAGGTCCCCAGACCTCCCAGGTGAGGTCTCCCACTGCTGCCTAGCTCCACTCTGGAGCACTACCCTATTTATATGTGTGTGCTCGAACCCATTGGCCATTCTTGGTCTGAACTCATTTGCCATGTCCATCTTCTCAAAGGGTTACCTACAAAGCCTAAAACGGATGTGGCTGGCACTCTCTTGAAAGAGGGTATTGCAGATACAACAGTGGGGGGTTTATGCAACTCATACAGTACTTGAGCAACTGAAGTGGTGGGAAAATAAGGTTTTTGTTGTTTTCATCACCCTCAATGGGCAACTTGGTCTGAGGTCTCTTTCCACAAGTCCATGACCTTAGATCCTGGCATCTGCAGTACAGGTTAGATGGTAGCAATTCTGGGAATGGGTCCCCTTTCTGGAACCTTGGCTCCCTCCCCTCTGAGCATACACTCCAAGAGCAGTGAGCAGTGCTAGATCTGGGGGCCTTCTCTCCAGAGAAAAGCAAGCTCCAGGAGGCTCTTATTGCTCACAGCACTGTATCTGTGCTTACCCTCCAAGGCACAGTGCATTTTGCAGATTTATGCAAACACTCAACAGTATGCTGACGTCACCTGCCAAGTCATCTATCTATGACAATTGTCACCTGTGACCAATTGTGTTCAGCCCCTGCTCCCTCGTCCTTCCCATTGCTATGAGATTTTAAGAAAATAAATTCTATAAATTCTACATAGGAATGGAAGGAGATTGCTTTTAAAAGGAGGACCACGTATTGATATTCTTAATACTTTGTGAGCAGAGGGCCCCCCATTTTCATTTTATCCTAGCCTCTGCAAATTGTGCAGTCCATCTTGGTGTCCAGGTATAAAAACACAGGCTCAGCAGGCTTCCTGGCCATCCCGCACAATCCTGAGTGGTTGGCCCCCAGGACATGTAAGAAAGGCCAGTTACTTGCCTTGGCCCCCCTCCCCCAGCCCAGGGCTCAGAGGGTTTATGTTCTCCTTACTGGCTTCAGAGAGAGCAGAGCCACACTGAGACCCTTTCTGGGCCACCGTCTCCTCCCACCCTGGCTTCTGTTTGCGTAGCCCTGTCTGACATCCACTAGGGTGGCTCAGATCTGAACAGGGCTCCACAGGGGCAGGTCACTGTCTCGGTTTCCCAGGCTTAGTCCTAACATCACTGGGGGATGGCCAATGGCCAAAGAGGGCTAAGTGCTCCTTGAACAACCAGGAATCGATTTCCTTCTGAAATGACCTGGGTTCCCCCTTTGCCATGTGGAGTTTGGCAGGAAAAGGCAGCTAACAGGAAAAAAAACAATGACCAGAGGTGATCATCATCGGTACCAGGGATTCCTGAGGCCCTAGACTCTACTGGATTCAAATTTCACCCAGCCATGGGACAGACGCAGGCCTGGCCATGGGTGAGACTGCCAGGGCTGTGCTTGCTGTGTTTACGGGAGCTTGAGGCCCTTCTGCCTCCCAGGGGAGAGCTTAGGTCTTTAGCAGTGCCTGCCAAGCCCTTTCCCAGTGCTGAGACACCTGACCTCCAACAGACTTGTTCTGCCTGCCAGCCGGGCACAACTTACATGACGATCAGAGCCGCGTCCCGGGAG